TCTCTTCACCATGTACTTTCATTCGAAATGAAGTTCCCCCTAATAAACGCGTCGACTGCGTCAACAAGAATATAATATAAAAGCTAAAAGGCTGCAGTACAACGATTTTCATCCGTCCTCTGAGGTGATATCGACAAACGAATCTCTTATTCATGTATTTTCGTTCGAAATGAAGGTCGCCCTAACAACGCTGAGATCGAAAAACGAATCTCTTCTTCGTGTACTTTCATTCGAAATGAAGGTCCCCCTAACAATGTTATATCAGCGACAAACGAATCTCTCCATCATGCACTTTCATTCGAAATGAAGGTCCCCCTAACAATGTTATCTCAGCAGATTCATCGAAACCAAGTTTCTCTTCGTATCTATAACTTCCTACACTCATTCCTTCGATTCAGGATGTTGGCTGTTTTGTTGATTTCTATCCTCTCACTAATCTTTCGCTTACTGGTTGCTACAGTCCCCATGTCCAGCTAAGCGTTTGGCGTTAGAGCAATCTATCTGGTGTCCTGTGCGAGTCGTGTGTTCGGCCAATTCCGATTTTCGGACCCACATACCCTTGCAGGCTGTTTTGTGTTAGGATAGCCGTTTATGCATGGGTCTACAGGTCTCTTCCACGTAGGCACTACCACATGAACACAAAATCGTGTATCAGCCCGATCTGAAGAGTGGATCAGAGTGTTCTCGACAAGAAGGCAGTGTCGAGGAAAGTATTATTTTCTCTTTATAAATGGTCCTGATTTTCCACCTCTTCAGTAATTTGCCCATATTCTTCGACAGATTGCATAATGGCAGCATAAGGAGCCTGGTAGAGTGATCTATCTTTTATATCTAACCCCAAAATTGTATTTCCCTTCATCCTATTTAGCAATAATCTAAAACACTTGTCAACCAGCCCTCTTGGATAATTATTCTCAAACAGTATTCGCCATAGTCTCTTCAGTTCCTAGTCTCGATGCTTGACATCTGCCAGACGCAGGCTCCTTATTATCATACATAAGGATGGAGTGCCGCTTACAATTATTGTGAATAATAAGGGAAGCATGATGCATAAAACATCACGATTAATTTGTAATCACTCAAATCAAATCTCCGAGATGTGGAGGATTTCTGTTAAGAATTCGTATGAATTCGCTAATTTAGTCGATGAGCAGGAGATATAAAGTGGATATTTGCTGGCAAGTTTTGCTGTACACTAACGTCCCTGTAGATAATGCCATGCAGGCCCTGCAATCCACACTAGACCAAAATGCGGAAATATTAATGATAGTGACCAACCTAGCGATGTACTGTAC